ACTGTTCAAAATACCCAAAATGCCCCTAAGTCAAACTTGGCCAAATTCCTGGTCAAATGTAAAGTCAAAAAGTCAAAGGGGTCAACACAGATCTAGTACGCCCAGCGCACTTAGTCACTATGCTTGGCGTAGTAGGTACTTAGCCAAAATATGAGCCTTTTCTCAGTATGTGTAGCGTACCACCAAGTACACCCAACGTACTCAACCTGATACCATTTTTCCTCATTAAGTGCTTATGCCATTAAGATTTCACTCCAAATCTCAGATCTAATCCTAAATATCATTTTAAGTCATAAGTTTCCAACTTTATGATTTTCCATGGCTATATGGAGTCCAAAAACTAAAATCCTAACTTAATACACAAACCAAAACATCATAACTCTTGCATGGAGGGAAGAAAGGGACCAAGATCTCATTTTTATGGTTCCTAGCACTCAAAAACATCTAAAAGGACAGCTTTTATGGTTTAGAGTAAGCCATAATCATGAATACCAAGATTATGAGACCAAAATACATAAAAACTTAAGAACTAGCAATATCCAAGGAAAACATTCATCAATTTCCAAGATTTATACCTTCAAGGGATGCTTGAGGGTGAGATACTTCTGGATCTAGGTTTCCTTGAGCTTCCAATATGATTTACCACCTTCTTCTTCCTTCATAAGCACAACAACACACTCTTCTCAAGCTCAAAATCACACACCAAAGAACTAGGGTTTGCAAAGGATGTTTTTGGGAGATGGAGGCTGATAGAGGAAATGGTTTTGAGGGAAAAAGATGCTTAAATATTGATCAAACCCTAAAAATTAGGGTTTGCTCACCTACCATGTACACCCAACGTACTCACATGCATACGCGACCATTTTTAATGAGCTATGCCAAGGGTACGCCCCAAGTATGCTTGGCGTAAGGACCAATTTTTCAACAAATTTTCATACTTAGATTCAAAAGGAAAATACCTGATGTATGGGTGTCATGTAACACATAACTGATCTGTTACTTATCACTAATTACCAGTTCATCAAAACAATTATGGATTTCAACAAGTGATTAACTCAATTTATTTAATCCTAAATTTTGTGATCAGGCTAAAAAGAACTAAAATCAAACATTCATTATGATCAAAACTTAAAAATCTAGATAGCATCACAAACTAACAACCAGATCTTATGATTAATTACATAAAAAGTATTAATCTTTGAAGAACTAAAATCTAGCGTTTAGCCTGGCATGGCTAAAATCTGATCAAAACTAATGAGAATAAAGATTAAACTATTAATTCTTACTAAACTAAATGATTGAGATGATCTATAGACTTCAGATCTTCAGAATCGATGTAAAAGTGCAAAAATTGCCCCCACAAATCGTCTATAAAGGGTTTTTCTTCGTCTGGGAATGTCTAGGGTTTAAATTGATCAGATAAGGAGTCTTTATATATGAGTCAGCAACAACAAAAATGTGATTTTTAAAGAAAAAAAACGTGATCATGCTTTTGGAGAGATTCCTAGCATATCGTATATCACATAATCAACAACAATCCAAATATCATAAAATAGGCCATGGGAACCCCCACATGGTCTTCGCATAAATACATAACATATGACAACACATTCATAATTATCCACTACAAGCAAGAGTCATGAAGACAACGGGCATACTACATATAACTAATTGTCATGGGAACCCCTACATGGTCTTCACATAAATACATAATGTATCGATATCATATCCGCAGTAATCATCACAAATAGGTAAATGGGTCGGCCTTGGTGCCTTCGACCCATTGATATGGTGAGGAGACTCACCTCACACTGTCAAAGTCCCGTGGATAAAACTCTAGCTGTTGGTTGACATATTCTTGAACTGTCAACGTCAAAACAACACCCAATTAATAGTTAGGTTCCAATACATAACCATAAGTCCATGTTTGGGGTAAAAAAAGACTATTTTACCCTTAGCCTAACTTGGTCCAAAACCAAGGTCCAACACACACTTTGAAGGCCCAAAAATCAATCAATGAACTAAGGCCCAACATATGGCCCAACTTTCCAAATTGGGCCTAAACCTCTACATGGAATTATCTTAAGGCCCAACCGTTTATTCTAGTCTAAACAGTTGGCATTCCAATGATCCAATGTCTCATAATCATCAAGGCCCACTTATGGCCCAATTTTCCAAATTAGGCCCAAACCTTTCCAATGGGCCTTATCCTAAAGCCCAATAATTTCCTTAGTCCACAAACTTGTTCCCATTTGGCCCACGGAGGCCCACAACAACCCAGTCCAAGAAATTTCCCAACAAGAACCCAAACCCAATTAGGATTTTTCACATAAAATGACGATTAGGGTTAAGTGTTCCTACTTAACCCATTAAGGACGTACTCCATTAAGGACGTAATCCATTAAGTCCACCACTCCACTAGTACAAACATACAATGTGGTCAGGCGTAATGCAAAATTCCAAATCCAATGGTCCAAACGTGGGTCCCGACAAATCCAAAACTAACATATCCAAAATTAGGGTTTTCTAAACCCTATTTAGGGTTTCCATCCCAATCATGTGCCAATTAGTCAAATGATTAGGTCAATTAGGTTGATTAATTGTTAATTGAGTTGGGCACCACCCACTACCACCTCGGGTAGTGGCGGTCAATGGCGGCTCACGGCTGTGGCCACCACCTCACGGTGGTGGTGACGGATTTCTATAATTATTCCTGCCACTAAATAAAATTTTACAACAATATCCAAATGCACACACACACATAAAACAATACACACACAACCACTCTTGTGGCGCATGCAGTGGTTGGAGGTGGCAACCACCACCTCACGGTGGTTGTGATGGCTTTTTTCGGTTTTCCAGCCACCGTTTGCATACTTTCACATACATGATATGCAACAGTAACACACGACACTAATAGGGAGTATAATCACAGAAAAAACACACCCTCCATAGCTGCCCTCAAGGTGGCAGCGGCGGTCGGAGCAGCGGCAGCAACTCTTCAGCCGCTCGGAGTGGCGGCATCAACGGTGCTCATGGCTAGAATGTATTATCGGCGAAAAAGAGAAGAATGGTGGAACCGTGAGTGATATAAATAGTGGCAGAAAGGTGCCCGCTCAATCTTCGTTGGCGGTAGAAAGGAGCAATCGACATCGCTGGGAACGGTAGCCGCGACGATCGGCGGTGGTTCCGTCTTTGCTGAAGTAGTACAGCAACCACACCACCCCCGTTGTTCACAACCCATGCATCCGTGTTCATAGCTCTGATTCTGGTCTCTAGCGGTTCTCTCTCTCTCTCTCTCTCTCTCTCTCTCTCTCTCTCTCTCTCTCTCTCTCTCTCTCTCTCTCTCTCTCTCTCTCTCTCTCTCTCTCTCGGCTGTTCACGAAGTCCGATGGTGGTGGTGGCGTTTCAATGGCAAAGCTGCAGGTGGCACGGTAGCGGCGAGTGGAGGTGAAGCGAGGCATAAGGGTGGCGGCTGAATAGTGTACTACGGTTAAGGTTGAGAAGGTGACGAGTTTAATACCTGCTTATATAAAACTTTTGTTCAATATACGCCTTTAGTCCCTCCTTCCTAATTTCTTTTCGATTCAGCTCCATAAGTTACCATATAGCACCTCCATGACAAATTATTTTCAACTTAGGTACATAATTTACCATTCGGCCCTCCACATTCCAAAATCTATTCAATATAAGTCCAAATGATACCAAACACCCCTTGACTTCTGAAAGTCTTTACAAAATAAATCCTAGAATTACACTTTAACCCCCGAAAATCCAAATTATATCATTTGGCTCCCCAAAACCAACACCCCGCTAAATATTATGGATTTAGAGCTACAATAAAATATATTATACATCTTGGGGTTTTAGAATTTTTTATTTATTTACTCATTTTATTTAATTTTAAATGGAGTGTTACATGATCACATTTTGTCTTCGAGGTCCCGAAACTTGATTTTTTGGCCTAGAAAAGTTGCGAAGGTAAAACACGATTATATAGGAAAAAAAACACGATCGTGTTTTTCCTAAAGCGCACATTTCAGATGCGAACTCTTCAACTGAAGTAAATACAACCCATGTTCTAACTTCCTAAGGTATTTTAGCTCCATTAAGCTCCAAATATGCATCAAAACTGCTTCCAAAGTACCACTTTATTCGACGTATCTGAAAACAGCATAAAAACATTAGCACTACGGGAATTCTAGCGATAAACATAAACTGAACATTATTTAAACTAATGCATATAAAAAGCATAAAATGTGATACAAAATGCTAATAAAACTACTATAAAATTGCATAAAATGACATCTCTCGGATGATACACAACTATCATTTGATATCACCATTTGGTAGGGAACTTCATTTGCTCCATGATTGAATCGAGAAACTTCCAACTTAATGAATCAAAAACTTTATCGAAATCAACCTTGAAAATTAATGTCGATAGATTTGATTTTTTCAACCATACACATACTTCATTTATCATAAGAGGACCATCAAGAATGTTTCTATGAGCGATAAATATTGATTGAACATCCTCAACAACATATCCAATCAACTTTTTCAGCCGATTAGCAAGTACTTTAGCAATTACTTTGTAAATGCAGCCAATTAGGTTAATAGGACGAAACTCAACATGAGAAAGAGGGCCCTTGATCTTCGGAACGAGAGCCATAAATGATGAGTTGCAGCCACGGATGATGGTATCTGTTTGGAAAAAATTGTTGAAAACTTTCACGAAATCGTGCTCCAAAATGCTCCAGAAGGACTTAACAAATTTGAATGAGAAGCCAACTGGTCCTCAATGTCTCCTTGATTTCCGCTAGGTGAAAAGGTTCATCAAGAAATGAAGTCTCTTCCAAAGGATAAAGTTTTTAGAGCATTACAACTTAGAGTGGGTCTTGCTGGATCTGTTTCTGTGAATTTTTTACTGAAAAAATAAAAAATTTCTTGTTTAATAAAACCGGGTCCAACAACCACACCCCATTAATCAAAAGATTTGTCTCTTTGTTGCCAGAATTCTTTCTATTATGCTCACATCGTAAAGTGGATCTACAGCATACAAATTACTGTAGGTGTTTCATAATTTGATTCAAAAGCATTAAAGCTGGAGCTTGTCGTTCTCGATAATCGAAAAAGATAAAAATCCATAACATAAAAAATTCAATATTATACAAATAATTTCACAAATAAATCTTTAAATTGTTGTAAAAAAATAATAATAAAAGGGAAATTTTGATCTCATCTACATCTTGCCACCAACTAAACCCCACATCAAAACTCCAATCCCCGCAGAAATCAAAACCGATACTTTCACCGTCGACGACGACGATGAAGACTTCGCCCCCGGTCCCGACGGTATTCCGCCAAAAACGGTGGGATAGGAAGGTGCAGAGTCGGCAAGTGCTCCGCCGGGAGCGGAAGAAGGCGGCAGTGGCAAAGACCCGTCGGCGGCAAACACCGAAATTTGAAGCTTCTGCGATTTTTCACAGTGGCCGGAAACACCACTGGTGAAGTAAAACACACCCGGTGAAGTAATGTTGAATAACGAATTGCCATTGTTCATATACAAGATTGGATCTTTCAGATTGCAGGTGTCGTAAGATTCTTTCGTCACTTGAATCACTGAATCTTCACTTGGTGGGTACAAGAACACTGTAACAAAACACAATGAACATAAAAAATCTGATCTTGTTTCAAGAATCTTGAAGTTTTTTAAGAAGAGATGAACTTACAGAGAGAGTCGCCGATCTTGAAGTTGAGTTTTTTGGGCCAATTTGCGTAAACTTTTGGATCTGTGGAAGTGGGTATGTTCCAAGCTTGAAGATTTCCAACTTGGAATTGATACGCGATAACATTTGATTGAATCAAAACGAAGAACAGAATCGAAATTGATAATCGATGGCACATTTGCCTTCCAAGAACAGCCATTTCTCGCTGTTTCTTGGTTTTCTATTTGGTGAGAGAGTATAGGAGAGAATTTAGGGAGACGAGGAGAAAGATTTCTCGTGAATAAAAGGAGGATGAATGAAGTAAAATTACGGAATTGACCCTTGATCTTGTGTTCTGTTTTAACCAATGGGGAATAAGGGTTTTGACTTTTGAGTAAGATCTGATTAGGGTAGATCTAGTAAAATGTGGAGTTTGGAGCCAATAATTGTTTAAAAGAAAAACAAAAGAACGTGGGCCAGTTGGTCTACAGAAGACATAAAACTGGATGCAGATCATCATGGATGATGGAGGTAATGCAAATTTATGGAAAAAACATGTGCATGTGTGTGCTTTCTTTCCTATTAAACCATATATGTGTGTGTGCTTTCTTTCCTATTAAACCATATTTTAAGATTCGTTTTACTTTGACTTCAAACTTACTAAATTTTGTGTAACTCTTTGCTGGTTCCGATCGAGTAATTTGTGTCGGTTTTAAGGTTGTGTTTACAAGTAAGACCAGTTGATGAACTAAAAACAAAATACTTTTTGAGTAATCTTTAATAACTAAAATAATTAGGAACAATTTATGGAGCGTAACGAAATATTTCGTTTTTTTTTATCTTTTTCGGAGTATAATGTTAGGATAATTTGAGAGGGAAATGAACTTTCAATTTTTTTTGACATTTAGTCACTAAATTTTTTTTTCATTATTTATTTGCCACTGAACTACTGAAACTGTTCACATTTTACCCTTATGACAGGTAACAGCCGGTCATAAGGGTAAAATGTGAACAGTTCCAATAGTTCAGTAACAAATAGATAATGAAAAAAAATTTGATGACTAAATAAACAAAGTCGAAAGTCCATTACCTTTTCAAGTACAATGCTATAAGTGGGTTTACATTGAAAATAAGATGATATAAAATAGAATTTTGACTTTTTTACACAAAAACAACATACACAAATACACATCACACATAACAATTAAGTTTCAAACAATAATAAACTTAAACATTGTTATTGTAAAGGTTTAAAATGACCTTTACACAGATTTGTTCCATGCTCAATGAGATGAAAGAGATACAAACATAAAAATAAAATGACCTTTTTAGTCGAGATCACCTATCATACAAAACTGTCTACATCACAGACAGTCAATGACTCCTTACTGGATAGAAATTCTTTTAACATCAGCTTCTTGAATTTCATGTTATATAAAAGTCTTCTTAGCCCCATGAAAGATCAATATCTAAATACCATAGAGGAGAAAAGCTAAAACTCATAGAAAACTAAATATTTATGAAAAATCAAGAAGACTCACCCGAAGTTGATCAATAATGTTCATTGTATAACATCGGAAGTTTGTTAACTTATATTTTCCTGGTCCATTCCATTCCATCATGCAAAATAAACACTTTTTTTGGATTTTTTTTTTAAAAAGAAACAATGTATTTTTCAAGTGAGCTTTAATTAATAGTTCTATAAGAAACCATCTTAGTAAGTGATTTTCACCAAATAAAAATTGAAAAAAAACATAGGCATGCTTCAATGGCTTCTTGAATTATGATTCAGCCCATTGAGCGATTACTCCATTTCTAAGATAAATGTATTCCCCGCAAATGTATTTTAGACAAATAAGGCTCCTTTTAAGCAACCAATGCATGACCTAACGGGAGAAAATCATAATAATTTAGAGAATCCATCACTTTTCTCTGTTTTATCATTATTATCTTTTTCACTGCACTAACACTTTTTGGGTCAAACTGCACACTCATAACCTGTTTTACTTTTACTGATTAATAAAAAAGACCAAGCTTTTGCAAAACATACAAAGAAAAATTACAAAAATATAAGGTATAAATGTCCTTAGAGCATCTATTTTAAAAATAGATAAAAATTACTTATACTTTTGCACCAAAATCTAGCATTTATGAATTGAGCTAAAAGGCGAAAACATACCCTAATTACAGTTCAATCTAAACAATCAATAAAATTCGTAAATTCATGAACCAAAAAAAAAAAAAAGGAATGCCTTGAGTTTTGGAGCAAGCTTCACCTTCAATCCCAATTTCGCCAAATAATCATTATGGATTGAGAAACAATCTCTTGGCCTTTTCTATTGGATCCTATATTAATCCATGGGTCGTTTTCATTTTTTCGTAAGTCCATACCATCCAATCCATGCCATTTGTAGTTTCTAATCAGATTTTCTTAATGGAATCTCCATACATACCAATGCCATCACTAAACATAAAGAATATCAAAATTAAACAGAAATTAGAAACGATAACGACATTTACATACACATACACACATAGATTTTGATAGAGAAACTTTAGTGATCGATAACAAAAAAATCCAAAATGATTTTAGGCTTTTAGCACTATTTAGGATGAAGATGCAATTACAGATGCTAACCTGATGTTCCTTTCCTTCTTTGTTCTTTCTTTATGTGGCTGCTGGAAGTTGTGCAAACCAAAAAAACCAATATTATTCAATTTTGGAGATGGTTACGATTGCTCATTTCTTGTATCTACATCGATTGGAAAGGGATTTTGAAAGGAAGTCCATAAATTTGTCCTGATTTTTTGGAATACATATCAGTTATTGCAGATTTAAATTAAAATGAGATTTATTAGATAAGAAATCAATTTCAAATTTAGATAGGATCCTGGATGAAATGCGATTGATTGGAATGTCGGAATGGACCAGAAATATGCACAGAATAAGGGTGGAGGGCAAATCCGTAAATCCACTTTGCAATGCACCAGCCGAATAGAACTGACACATGGACAAAATGGATTCGTGTATTAGAGTAAGGATTAGATCAATTTCATTATTAGTTTAATGCACAACTTTACATGGATATTTGTTTTTATATTGATAACTCTGAAGTGTTACAAATAAGCCATGCAAAAAATTTTAATGTCTTTTTAACCTTATTTGGAAGCATGCAAATTAGTACAATTTCTTGTAATGGGTTATATGCAGAAAATAGCATGGACTTTCATTTATTTGTTTTTATAGTATATTATTTTCAATTTTTTACTATCAAAACATTGTATTTTAAAAAATCTACATAATTATAAAGCAATTTTCACTGTTATAAGGATACAATTTTTTCAAATAATGTTTTTATATGAAAAAAAATTGGAAGTACAAATGTGATAATTTGATAGTTTTTTTTAAAGTACATTGTTGTCATAGAAAGAATAAAAGTAGAATGCTATAACAAAAAAAAATAGATAAAAGTATTTTGCTATTCTTCCAATTAGGAAAAAAAAATGCTAAACTTTTTTTTCAACAAAGAAAAACAACGATCATAACTACAAATTTCAAAAAAAGTAGAAAAAAGAAAACTACATTGCCTACATAATCTCCTACCTAAAAACTATATCAACCTCCTTTATTCTTTTCTAATTTTCCAATATTATTTCCAACCAAAAAATACATTTCACACAAGAATACCATAAGTTGACTTTTTGACCTTTTACTATAATCTCATTTTGTTTCTTTCATCTTGTTATCAAATGTTAAGTGGTTCGGACTCCAGTTCCCTCGCTTTGTCTAGTGGCCCTGCATGCAAAATGACCGATTTAGCCTTCCAAATAACTTTTTTTTAAATTTATAATTCAAAAAGGTATGATTGATGAGCAAAAGAAGAACATACATGATCTTTCTACAACTCCCAATAGGCGTCTTTGCAACATGGATGCAATGAAGAGGAAAACAGCACACATTCCAAACATTACGGATATTGGAAATGAATCAACCTTTAAAAAAATAAATAAATAAAAATTAGCATTTTAATATATATAACCTTAAATAAATGTTTCTGCTAGGAAAACAATTTTTATATATAACTAAATAAAAAGAGAAATCTCCGATAAAACCCCAATATTTTGGGTCAGTTTACGGTTTAATCCCAACTTTTATTTTTTAAATAAAAAAGTCCTAATTATTTTATATTTTTCCCAACATAACGAAACAAACCTTATTTTTTTCAACAGAAAAAGACATTATCGTATAAAATTAGATAATAACGACTTTTTTTGTTCAAAAAATAAATCTTGGGATTAACCCTTAAACTTACCCAAAATATTAGGACTAAACCGTAAACTTACTCAAAATATGGAGGCTTTATCTAACATTTCCTAATTCCCTTTAAAAAAAAAAAATCAAGTACATGTGGGCCCACTATTTTGTTGAGAGAGAGAGAGATCTTACATTGTAAAGTACAATGCATACAAAGATATTAAGTGGAATCCTGAAAAAATTCATAATAGTGCTTCGAGACTCTTCTGGAATATACTGTGACCTCATCTTCATAATCGAAGGCCAAAATAATCCAACACACCCTTCAAACACACAAAACCCAATCAACTCAATACACCCCGCAAATGAAATACTCCCGCCTTTTTCACTCGAAGGACCCACCAAAACCTTCATTTTTTTTAAAAAAAAAAAAAAAAAAAAAAAACACCCAATCAAATCCATGATCATATTATTCAAAATCACTACCATTATTACAATGTGTCTGTCACCTACACTTGTTATAACAGGAAGCATTAGAGATGCAGAAGACACCATAAAAACAACTTGCATGTAACTTTCAACTCTAATTGAGCCACGTGCCATTAACCTTGAAGCAAACGAGCTTCCTAACATGGAAGCCAACATAAAAGTTGCAAAAATGAATCCATGTGGAATTTCTTCATCATTAGGGCTCAAAGCAGGAGTCCATAAGAACACAAAAGTGTACATCGATCCTTCAAACAGCGATTGTATTGCTCCTAATAACGCAATCTTTTCATCTGATTTCAAAAGGAAACACAATTGTCAATTCACATGATGTAATGCATGATTCCATTCCATTTAGAGAGAGAAAGTTGACCAGATGAGATTGCAAGAGCAGCTCCTCTGAATTGAGTCAACAAGTCTTTGCTTTCTGAAGGATCTCCATAGTTTTCAGTCCAAGAAGAAAGAATGATTGCCATTCCAATGGCAAGAAAGCATGAAGCAGCATCAAAAGGAGCAACAGGTCCTAAAGCTAAAGATCCAACTAGAAGATTCCCGAATAAACCTGCTAAAATTGCAATTAAGCCATTTCCAAGAAATATTGCTTTGGAGAATGTTAGCGATAGCCATTGTTGCTCAAAACCCCTCTGCAACGTAAACAAGAAAAGATTGTTTATGATTTTTGATAATCGTTTCAATGAGTTGATTATCAAAAACA